TGTTCTGTGCACAGAGCGTTTCTGCCGGAGGATTTCCAGGTCTATAGCGATGACCAAGGAGGGCTCACGAAAGCCGAACCTGCACACGTGGAGGTAACGGTCGTGCCCCGTGTGCTGTGTGTACCCCGTGCTTCTGAACGCAGAGGAGGCGGCTTCCCCTGCTCTGCCCCAACACGGTGCCACCAGCAACTTCTCAAGGCACTAAACCCATAGAATCATGGAATGGTTTGGGTTGGCAAGGACCTTAAAGCTCCTCTAGTTCCAACCCCCTGCCATGGACAGGGACACTTTCCACTAGACCAGGTCGCTGTCCGACCTGGCCTTGAACACTGCCAGGGATGGGGCAGCCTGTTCCCAGGGAGCACAGGTAACAGAGCCAGCGGTGCTCAAACCTCCGCGGCTGGTGCTGTGTGGCCGGGGAAGGTGGGTTCCCAGCATTGGCTGTAGTGTTGTGCTTCTCCCTGTTGTGTGTCCGTTCCCTGTGGGATCAGGGACTGTGGCGCTACCCAGGTCTCTGGGAAGAGGGCACTGAGCCATTGATGTGGCTTTACTGCTTCCAGCGGGACTGCTTCTATGAAGGAGACGTCAAGGGTTTCCCCATTTCACTCGTGGCACTCAGCACCTGCGCCGGCCTGAGGTAAAGTCGTTGCTGCCCCGTGGGGATGTTGGTGTCATTCCACAGTGGTGGAGGTGCCATTCCTGCCACTCTGCTCCTTTGCTTTCCAGAGGGATCCTGCAGCTCTCAAATACGAGCTACGGGATCAAGCCTCTGGAAGCCGCAGCCAGGAATCAGCACCTCGTGTACCCAGTGTGGAACGAAAACACGGAGGCTCAGCTGTTAGCAGAGAAGACTTCCCTTGGCTGGCCCGAGGAGGTGCTACCGGAGCCAGAGGATGCAGCCGCAGTGAGTGCATCTCCTGGTGGGATGTTGCTGTGGACATGGGAAACGTGCAGCTGAAGGATGCCTCCGTTTGTGCAATAATGTGTTGTTTCTGAGTTTATTCAGCGCAGCAGATGCTAAAGGACTTTGTAACTCACCAGTGCTGAGGATGAGGCCTCTGCCTGTGCCCAGAGGGAGCTGTGGGGTGGCCCGAGGCTGGGCGAGCAGCACAGGGGTGCCTTGGCAATGGTTATCATGCAGGAGCTGACCCTGCCTGGTGTTAACAGGCGAAGGGAAGACTAGAAATTGCCCTCTGGGTGTGTGGCATCAGGAGGGCAGGCAGCTGGTGAGGGGATACAGAGCAGTTGGGAATGGCAGGGAGTCCCTGCTCTGTGGTGAGCTGCCTTTTCTGGCCTTTCCAAAACATCCGTTGTTGTAAGCGCAGATGGAATCTGGTCGAGGATACCATGTTGTGGATGATGGAAGGACCGCACCTCCGGGAGCTCGGGGCTGTTTGTCTGACAGCTCCAAATGGCTGTGAAGAGCCGGCCCCGCCCGTGGACCTAACGCTCGCCCCGTAAGCGGTGGCCTGACCAGAGCTGCCATGACCCGCAGCAGCTCTGCACTAACACGTGCAGGGGGGGATGTGTGTGTTTTGTTTTGTTATTAGATTTCCCTAAAGGACAAGCAAGTTGCCAGCAGACCCTCTCGGTACCTGGAAATGCACGTTATCCTGGACAAGGCTCTGGTAAGTGTCTGCCTCCTCTCTGCTGTGAATTGTTGCCTTCACACAGCAAGTCCACAGCTACACAAGAACGTCAAGGACAATTTGCACGAGGCTTGAGAGTCTCTGTGTTAACAGGGACTAACTCCCTTGGGCATGACCAAGAATATGTGTGGTAGGGACCACAGCCCTGCACGGTGCCCTGATGTGCTCTTGTGTTGGTCGCCTTTCAGTATGACTACATGGGAGCAGACAAGGATGTCGTGGTGGCCAAGATAGTGCAGCTTTTCAGCTACGTGAACAGTGTAAGTTGCTTTCGGTCGCATCCTGAACATGTGTGGGATGTGTGGAGGTGCTGTGGGTAATGATGAAGCCACATAGGTAGAGCAAGCTGGATGCTGTGGAGCAGCAGGGCTCTGGGGACCAGCCGTGGTGTCTGTCTGCCTCCCTCCAGATGTTTGCTCGCCTCAATCTCACCATAGTCCTGTCTTCCCTGGAGCTCTGGATTGAAAAGAACAAAATCCCAACCACAGGAGATGCTGAGGAGCTGCTGCAGAGGTTCCTGCAGTGGAAAAATGAGCATCACGCGTCGTGGCTGCAGGACATGATGTTCCTATTTGTGTAAGACGAGGATGGCTGCGAGCGCGTGGGTTGAAAGGGAGAGGAAGGCGCCGTTACACCATGTGTCAGACTGACTCTGGTCTGTTCCCCAGTTACAGGGAGCAGTCCCGTTACGTGGGTGCATCTTCTGCAAGGAAGCTGTGTCTCAAAACCCACGCTGGCGGCGTTGCCTTGGTACGGTACCTCTGTCTGTCTGTGCCCATAACCTCCCATCCCTGTAGGTGATGCGGGGAGCGGTGCCTCAGGAGCTGAGCTGGTGCAGGACCCCTCGCACCGTCGCACCCAGCAGCGGCGCGGGGCTGAGGCC